TCGTCTTTCTAAGACATACTAATGAAGATAGAGTAGTTTGCTGTACTCTAATAAATAACCCACTGATTTACATTTCAAAATCTTGACCAAACTGGCGATTTCCACTCAGATTGAGCGTCTGAATAATGCTAGGCTACAGAGTCTCAGGTCTTGTGTGTGTGTTTTCAGGTTCAGTGAGTGTAACTCTTTCTGTCCGATATCTGATGCTTCAGTTTAGATTCTCCAGGGCTTCTGACACACTTTTTACATTTAGTTCATTTCTCACTCTCAGGGAAGTGGCTACTCTCCTCAGCCCCATGATGATTTCTTACAGATCCTCAAACGACTGAAAAAGGTCATAGTCTGTGTGCATTCATACACGGATTATATTTATAGTGCGCATACAGCAAACATAAAAGCTCATTTATTCCTTCACGTCGTTTCAAACTGTTTTATGTGCCCAGGGCTAAATTTTTGAGAATCGAGAAATATGTACCCCGGGCTACATCTGCTTGCAGTCCAAGCACATGCGCTATAGGGGAATTGATTAACTAAATTGTCTGTAGTGTATAAGTGTGTATGGGTGTGTATGGGTGTTTCCCAGTACTGGGTTGCAGCTGGAAGGGCGTCCGCTGTTTAAAACATATGCTAGAATAGTTGGTGGTTCTTGCCGCTGTGTTCACACAAATTTAGCACGGACAATTTAGCAAACCCAATTCACCTGTATCGCATGTCTTTGGACAGGAGCACCCGGAGGAAACCCACGTGAACGCGGAGAGAACATGCAAACTCCACACAGAAATGCCAACTGACCAGCCGAGGCTTGAACCAGAAACCTTTTTGCTGTGAGGCGAGAGCGCTACCCACTGCGCCACCGCTTCGCCCCAATGATATTTACAGGGACATAATATTAATGATTAAAGCTTTATATTCATGTAGTTCTTCACACAACACCAAATAAACACCAAAAACAACAACTTAAAACTCTCTAAGATTCATAATGAATACATTTGCCTCTTATATCTAACTCCAAATGGACCAATTTTCTGCTGTGGTCAGTTTGCTCGTAGTTCACTTTATACAGTGTTGTACTTGGGTTCGAATTAGGGTAAAAACTCCCACAAAAAAGATGAAATCACTGTAAAATCAAGGTAAAACTGCATGATTGCAGGGCAATTTTCTCTTATGTCTGCTTTAGACAACACTATTGGTTGGGTTTAGCTAAGTGGTTCGCTAGCAGATTTGTTTTGATAAGCTCTGCCTTCTCATGGACATGTGCAAGAAGGACGTGGATCTGAAATATGCTAAGTAATGCTTTTTAGATTCATAAAAATGTCGACAGCGCCCTCTGGTGGATTTGTCAACTTAAACATGCAACGAAACGTACCTGGAGTAACATAACTTATGTTTTTTAAATATGTACGCTAATAAACCTGGCTTGCTTTTCACTCTTGATAAAATTAATGTAATCACAAGTATTGACTAGATAAAGCGTTCAAGACCAAACAGTTGTAAGATGAGCGTTCATGTGTAAATGTAGTTGCCATCGGCAAGGCATTGTGTCTGAAGAAGCTGCAGTTTCTCCACTGTCATCCTCTGTTACCAACGGCAAACTGTCCCTCTTAGTGAAGACTAAAATAGCCCTGTCAGTGAAAAACCATCTCAAAACGAGATTTGAAGGCACGAGTAGTTAAAACAAATGGCAGAAAATCAGCGGTGATCCTGCATATTATGATGATTTATGAAGAATCACTCGAGACTGAATCATCAATCATTCATTCATTCATTCATTCATTCATTTTCTTTATTAATCTTGGGTCACCACAGCGAAATGAACTGCCAACTTATCCAGCATATGTTTTACACAGCGGACGCCCTTCCAGTCACTGGGAAACACCCATACACACTCATTCAAATACATACACTACGTACAATTTTAGCCCACCCAATTCACCTGTAGCGCATGTCTCTGGACTTTTGGGGGAAACCGGAGCACCTGGAGGAAACCCACGTGAACCCAGGGAGAACATGCAAACTCCACATAGAAATGCCATCTGACCCAGCTGTGGCTCGAACCAGCGACCTTTTTGCTGTGAGGCGACAGCACTACCTACTGCGCCAGCGCTTCGCCCACTAAATCATCATACTGTATCAAAATGATCTCAGACAGATCACGTGACACAAAACACTGCAGTAATGATACTAAACAATCTGTTTTTACATCCCAGCAATGAATTATTTGTAAAATCGTACGAGTACCTAAAGGTGGCATATCAAATCAAGATTTATGGATTTATGAATCAGAATCAGGATTTATGAAGAATCTCCCGACACAAAATGATCTCAGAAAAATCCTGTGACCCCAAACACTGACACATGATGTTGAACAATCAGTTTTTACATCCCAGCAATAAAGCAGCTGTATAGTTAGAGCACCTCGAGAACTCTTACTATACTAAAACCATTAAAATGATCTCAGGACGATCACATGACACAGAACGGCTAATATATAGTAGAGTACCTAAAGAAGGCGTACATGACCAGCAGGTTTCCGATCACTCCTAGAGCCCCGATGACGGCCACAAAAAACGCCACTATGTAGTGTGCATGATCAGGAACGTCCACTTTCCTGAAAAAGCCTCGATCCATATCCTTCGACTCCTCCATATCTGTGAGAGAGGGAAAAAATCCTGGTTAACACTCGATTCTGAATCTTGTGTCTTGCACAGGTTTGTAAAACACTTCTTTTTTTCCGCCAGACTACTTTACCACCTCTGGGAAAACTAAACTGGACTTGCATCAAAATTGCCTTTCAAGAGTTCACACTTGGCTGATGATTGATAATAAAGCTTGTCCTGTCCCGGGAGTGAGCCCTGAACTTATAAGTTCCTCGAGCCCTGGGCTCCCTCCCGTTGCAGGGCGAGAGGGGAGTTTGAGCTCAGGTAGATCTCGATGACTCCCCCTCCTGCTTATTGTAGCTAAGTGTCAGATATGGATGCTGAGATCAGCCATACAGAAACAAAAGTCAGCAATAACTCAAATCTGGGGTGAGCAAACAAATCTGAAAAAGTGCATTGAGAGGCATTTGCATTTAAAGAGACGCACACAAAAATTGTGCTTCAGCCTCTAGTCTGAAAGGAGCATTGTTTTGAGTGACTCCTACATGCGAGAGAAGATCCTAGTTAACACTCGAATCTGACCTCATTATCCTCCAGTGGTGTAAAGTAACTAACTGCAAATACTCAAGTTACAGTAATTGAGTAGTTTTTCTCAGAAATTGTAATTTGCTAAGTAGTTTTAAAAATGTGTACTTCTACTTTTCCTTGAGTACATGTTTAGTGCTGTATCTGTACACTACTGTCGACCCTGCAGTCACTACTGTATTTTTTCCTGTTTATGGGAATTAGAAAAATCACACCTGTCCAATCAAATCACACATAGAAGGTAAACTGCATCATAATGATCTACCTCAAGACATGTGCACTTTACATTGCAGCAAACTGTTTGGAAGCATTAAAAGTGTCCAAGAAGACGTTCAAAATCTTTACACGCATTGACCCAGAGACTGTTTAGATCAGGGATGCCCAAACACAGTCCTGGAGGGCCGATGTCCTGCAGATTTTAGCTCCAACTTGCCTCAACACACCTGCACGGATGTTTCTAGAAAGCCTAGTATGAGATTGATTAGCTAGCCCAGGTGCGTCTAATTGGGATTGGAACTAAACTTTGCAGGACACCGACCCTCCAGGATAGAGTATGGGCAACCCCTGGTTTACATGCATGTCTCTGATGAGAAGATGTTGACTGTATGATGACTGAAATGGTCTTAGGGTGCGTTCACACCTGTGAATGGATTCAGTTGTTCTGAAACAGAGATTACAATTGTTACATTGTTGCTCTTTGCTCTTGGAGCGGTTCACTTTCACACTGCAAAGTTTCTAATTGGACCAAAAGAGCTAAAACAAGTCACGTGTGAGTAAACTCTCCTCACATTGGTCAGAGTGTCAGGGTTTGTTTTGCAGCGTCCCGCTCAGCTGTCAGGAGAGGTGGTGGTTTGGTGGTGATTGACAGGGTGCGCGCGACGTGTCTGAGGAGAGATGCGGTGGGGAGTGGTGAGAAGGGTGCGCGATGATGCCTATTTGAGGACCGGGAGGGAGACGCGGATTACCGGGAGATCATCACTCGTTTGCGGGCATCCGGAGACTCGCGAAACTTCCCGCCCTACTCATAATTCTCTCTTCATATAGCCGTAAGCCTATTACATATCCATAAAACACTGTGATATAACCGCACTCGGATCGCATCACTTTCTCACTGCAATCGAACCACTCCAGGGTTCGTTTCAATCGAGCCGAGACCACCTCATTCAAGTGATCTCGGAGCGATTTCTTTGGCGCGGAACAGAGCCCGATTGCCCTGTTCACATATGCCAATCGAACCGCGCTAACTGGGCAAACGAGACACGTTCCGAAACAAAAGTGTAGGTGTGAAAGCACCCTAAATGTCTTATGACGTTGTGTGCCTGCTTATCAATAACTAAATGCACTATAGAATGTTACGTTTACACAAACATGCACAAACTACATGTAAATGCTTTAACTTTTAACAGCATAATACTCACTACTCACTGCTCATAAGCAGGGCCAGACGGAATCTGCGGAGGATTTTTGCTATTTCTGCAGAGAATTTTGGTAAAAATCTGCGGATTTCTGCACAATTATTTTGGGAGTATCCAGCGGAGTATCATAACTAAAACCTTAATATATAAAATAAAAGTAATAAATTACTGATTAAAAACTGAATAAATTAGTAAAATAAAAGTAAATAAACAGAATTAATGATGGGCTAAAAATCTGCAGAAATCTGCAGAAAATCTGCAAAATTCTGCACGCGCAGATTGCGTGTGGGCCTACTCATGAGTAAATGAGGGCAACTTTTACTCCTATTTTGAGTAATATTTACAACAGGTACTTTTACTCTACTCACACTACATTTTTAGGCAAGTAATGCTACTTTTACTCAAGTATGCTTTTTCAGTACTATTTCCGCCACTCTTAACCTCTGAGGATCAGCAAAAAGCGAGTTACGTTCAGACGTGTCCTCCAGGAGAACCTCTTCACCGTGACCTCTGCAGTTAAAGCACATCTCTGGCCGGGTTTACAGCAGTGTTTTAGGTTTTGAGCTCTTATCTGTTGCACTGCGGCGCATGTGATGCAGAGGCTTAAGAGAAATAAGAGCATGCTCTGTTCTGTCTTCCTGCACACGCACAAGCGCCTCCAGCTCCAGAGATACGGACGAAGCAATAACACACGTCGAAGAAAACACTTTAAAAAAGAACGAGAGCAAATAAGAGCGAATCACATGCTGGATGTGACGAGTTGATGAGTGCGGGTGAACTTACGGCGCTTCTCTCAGGTTCATTTGATC